CTGCCTCCCAAGTGCTGGGATTAAAGGCGTGCGCTACCACCGCCTGGCAAAAAAAGAAAATTTTTAAATAATTATTTATTTGCTTATTTTAGTTTTCTGAGATAGGATTTAAGTGTAAGAGCCCAGGATGTTCTAGAACTCGCTTTGTAGACTGTGCTGTCCTCAACCTCACAGAGATCCACCTGCTTCTGCCTCTTAAGCACTGGGATTAAAAGCATTTGTCACTGCTGCCTGATTTTTTTGTTTTTTAAGTGCTAAGCAAATGCAATGAGGTTTTTAATTGGGGGTTGTCACTGTTTTTGTTTTGAGACAGAGTTAAGTCTAGGTTGGCTTAAGCTCTAGGCTTCCTGCCTTAGCTTCCTGACTGTAGGTGTGACCTCCAAGGCTAAGGCATCCATGTTAAGTATGTAACCCTCTGATAACTGCTAGCTACCAAGAATGCCCCTGAAACTTCATTTCTTATAGAGCTCATGAACCTACTCCGTACAGCAAATCAAAGTACTTACTACTTTAGAAGTTTTGTGGTTTTGGTTGTTTTTGTTTTGTTTTCTTTTTTAAGATTTACTTACTTATTTAATGTGTGTGAATCTTTTGCCTATGTGTATTTATGTGTTCCACATGTGTGTCTGGTGCCTGTAGAAGTCAAAAGGTGTTGGGTCCCAGAACTGGAATTATGGATGGTTCTGGGCCACTATGGGTGCTGGGAATCAGGATCCTCTGCAAAAGCAACAAAAGTGCTCTTAGTCACTGAATCATCTCTCCAGTCCTTGCCTTTAAAAATCTTACTGTGAGGCCCGGTGTCCCACTCCCAGCAGGAAGTCTTTACTAGGCATAGTGACACACAAGTCTGAGGCATTTGAGCCTAAACTGGGTTATAGATCAAGACACTATCTTAACAGAAAAAAATCACTAACAGCAAAATAAGCTTCTCATCTTAGTCAGACCTAGTGAGACCTGCTATCTGAATCTCAGGCAGGAGGATCTGGAGTTCAAGGCCAAGCTTCAGCTAGACAGTAAATTGAGGCCAACCTGAGCTAAGTGAGACCCTGTTTTAAAATAACCACACATGTTCTGGGGGTGTGGTGGGGGCTTATTGAGTGCTCCACCCTAAACCCATTTATCACCCCAAGTCTTTAACGCAGTGAAAGGGCAGAAGGATGGAGAACAGTGCTATTAAACACTGTCTTCTGGACATGAGATGACATTATACTCATGGTCTATGGTTACCTGCACGAATTGAGCCTTGTTAGCACTTCAGCCTGGACGGTTGATGGGCTCACAAAGTTCCACTCCAAGTTGAAATTAATGGCTCCTGGGGGAAAGGAGGTCTTTTCTTTTTTTTTTTTAAGATTTATTTATTATGTATACAACACACATAATTATGTATCCTCACATGCCAGAAGAGGGCACCAGGTATAATGATATCACAACAGATGGTTGTGAGCTACCATGTGGTTGCTAGGAATTGAACTCACGACCTGTGAAAGAACAGTCAGTGCTCTTAACCACTGAGCCATCTCTCCAGCTCAAGGAGGTCTTTTCTTTAGTGGTATAGCCAATGCTCCATTGCCCCTGCTCCAGTGATTAGGTCCACATGCGTGTTCATGACTTGAAGTCAGCGAGTCAAAACAAAAAAATGGACATGAGACTAAGAGTCCAGGAGGAGAGGGTAATGTGATGAAAATGATTGTAAACAATTCATAAATTGTCAGTGGATATTTTTGAGACTTGATCTACCAGGATAAAAGTCTGAAAACTTATAACAGGTCTGTTGACCCCCTCTGAAGTTAATTCAACTAGTCACCAGAGGCCTAGGTTACAGTTGCTTACCATACTGTGATATCTGTTTTGTTAGGAAGCTAGTCTTTCAGCTTTTGAATTGTCAGTTATTCTTTACTGAGAGCCACGTGTGTTGGGTTCTCCTTCAAGAATTTGACCTTAACCTTTAGGTGCCTAACAAGCTCTGAGGCAGAGATTATTGTTTATTACTGATGCATTTCCTGAAGTGATGTTTGGCATGTCAGAGACCTACAAATTTAATGAATCACAGATTTCAAAAATGACTGCTCACATTGCTGTTGGCACTTTGACCCTATAAAGAAATTTACAACACAGTTCCAATTGCCCTTTATTCTCATGTCTCAAAAACACTGCAGTTATCTCTGGAGGTTTTGAATTTGTACTGTCAGAATAAATGGTTCATTGTGAAAACTGTGGTTCTAATAGATAAATATAAGGAAAAAATAATGGGTTTGTGGAAGCAAGCTGACACATACTTTTTAGAAATGAGGTTTATGGGGGCAGGGGAGATGGCTCAGAGGTTAAGAGCACAGGCTGCTTTCTCTTCCCGAGGTCCTGAGTTAGTTAATTTCCCAGCAACCACATGATGGCTCACAATGATTATAATGACAATTCAGACTCCTTGAAACATGGGCATTAGTAGGAAATTTAAATGGTGAAGAAAGCACATTATAAGCTAGGTTTAAAAAAAAAAAAAAAAAAAACGAGCTGGGTGGTAGTGGTACACACCTTCTATCTCAGCACTTGGGAGGCAGAGTTTGAGGCCAGTCTGGTCTACAGAGCTAGTTCCAGGACAGCCAGGGATACACAGAGAAACCCTGTCTCAAACAAACAAACAAAAACAATAATAATAAAGACAAGCAGAAATGTTTCAGACATGTTCAAGAAAAAGTTTATAAAGTTTAGTAAGAGAATTAATTGTGAACTGCTGTTTGAAAACTGGAATGGAGCCTGGATTCTCTGAAAGAACAGCCATTGCCTTCAGTCATCTCTCCAGCTCGGGACTTGCTTTAAGTACTCAGTCAAATCCAAGTCTCGGATACAAGACAAGAAGGAAACCAAGAATGCTTTCTCTGTACCTGTCCAGCACATGAGGTTTGTCCCAGGATGACACAGTAAGTACCAGCTCACATTCATGTTTACTTTGACATGCTGAGGTCACATCTGCCTGCATTTATACTGCTGGTAAAGATGTCCTACTAATGCCCATGTGCCAAGGCCCTGCTTACATCAGCGAGTGTTTGCTGCGTGCAGGAAATTGCAGCAGTGTCGCGGCTGTTGTGTCCTTTGAGTGGCAAGCATGGTCCAGTGCTTACGGAGCCTCATCTGACTCTTGGATCTCACATCTGTCTACAGAGCTCAACTGAAACAGGAACTCAAACTGCCTGGCGTGTTCAAATAGTTTAAAAAGTAGTGAGAACATTCATGAAGGCCTCACTGGTTGTAACCTTTTAAGCCAAAATATTGGCATTAAATTACTTCTTCGATACCTTTATTTTGATAAATTGACCTTAATATAAAAACATAATAAAACGTAAATTTAAGTATGATTATTTGAGGAACACTGTCAGACATGGTGGTACACTCGAGAGGTGAAGTTCGGGGTTATCCTCTGCTATGTATGAACTGAAGGCCATCCATCCTTGACTACACAAAACCCAGTCTCGCAAAAAAATAAAAGTGTATGTGTTTCATTTTTATGGTTTTAGAAGACAGTGTTTCTCTGTTTGGAACCTGTCCTGGAACTGTACATCAGGCTGGCCTCAAACTCACGGAAATTTTCCTGCTTCTGTCTCCCGAGTGCTGGGGTTAAAGGCCACCACCACCCAGCCGTGTGTGTACTTTCTGTACCTCTCATGGAAAAGGCTGTCCAACGACTGTTCTGCGGCAGCAGAGTGCTGTTCATGTGCTGAATATTCATTGCTCAGTAAATAACATTTTATACTAATGGCTGGAAACTAGTGATCACAAGAATCCCTGCTCCTGAGAAAAGAACAGCAGAGAAGGATCCTCATGAAAAACCACAGGAATGAGTGAAGCAGCCACTTCCCTAAAGATTTTCTTGACACATTTATTCACCGGAGGGCCATGGATCTAAGAAATGAAAAGTGAAGAGCTAGGCAGTGGTGGCACACTCCTTTAATCCCAACACTTGGGAGGCAGAGGCAGGAGGATCTCTTGTGAGTTCGAGGCCAGCCTGGTCTAGAGTGAGTTCCAGAAACTGGGAGGGAGGGGAGAAACAACAACAAAAGACCAACTCAAGGACCTCCCTCCCTCAGGAAAGCTTAGTACTCAAAGTGCCCCTTTAGGTTGATTTGTGTGTTAGTAAGCTGCTTTCAGTGTTCAGAGTTGCTGAGCAAGAAAGTAATAACTGGGAAGTACTGCAAATAGGCAAGGCTAAGATGCTCTTAAATGCTATAATCGGAAAAGAAAGTCCCAAAGTCATAGACGCAGCGTCAGCCATCCGAATGATCTAAATCTCGCTCTTTTCTGGAATATGAGGCAGTAAGACATGAAAGACTAACAGCATGGAGAAACGGATGCTGAAAAAAAGCAGATTCTGCATTAGAGGGATGGGGCAGGCGAGCATTTATTAAACACCTTTGCTACATCCCAGACCTCTCAAGAAAACACTGGATTTAACTGTGAACGGGAGAACACGGTCCTCACTAAAAGTCACTTTATTTTGGTTTTTTTTGTTTTGTTTTGTTTCTCTGTGGTTTTGGAGCCTGTCCTGGAACTAGCTCTTATAGACCTATTCACACCCTTTGAGCTAGCTTAGGCGGGCTTTTCCTCCTTTCAGACACTTGTGCACACGCGGTTCTGAGGCGGCAGCGTTCTCTCAAGCTCACAAGTGCGAGGTGCGTGCAGGGAAGCGGGAAGGAGGGGTACTGCGGGCGACCCCGGGCCTGCAGGGCATCACGGTGTCCTCGTCCCGTCCGGGGCGGAGACCTCAACGGTTCCACACTGACACGTTCGCGGGAAAGCGCGATTCCCACGTAGAGGTCCATAGAGCTAGAGCCAAAATTAACGGCAGAAGACCAGGCGTCAGCCCCGGGACCGGGAGGGGCGGGGCTACAGAGCCGGCCCCGCCCCCAGCTCTTCCCGCGCTCCGATTGGCTCCGGCGGCCGCGCGCTCCCGGCGGGGCAGCTGGCGGCTGAAAAGCCGGTGCTGCTCTGTGCGAGCCACCAGCGAGCAACCGTCTGAGGCTGCGGGCTGAAGCGGAGGCCGCTCGCTCTTCGCCGGTCTGCGCAGGTACCTTCGCCCTCGCTGGGCGGGCGGCCTTGGTGACGAGTCCCGAGTGTCAGCAGCGCCGGTGCCCTCCGCTCTCTCCCGCAGTACGGCGTGAGGAGGGCCCTCAGCCCTCAGCGGCGCATCGGGGCGGTCTCGCGGCCTCGAGGCTCCCCGCACCTACCCCCCCCCCCCCCCCCCCCAGCTCTGAGGGCCGGGACGCGAGTGAGCCTCCCCGAGGCGGAGACCGGAGGGAACCCGTGGAGGGACCGGGTCGCCCGGCAGGTCGGGCTGCACGGTGGGGCTGAGGGGATGCGAGTCCTGCCGCTTGATCCCGTGTCCCACGCTCCCACCCAGAGTCGCATCACAGTGTCGAGTTCTGAGCTGCCCTGTGTCATCGCGACACCCCAGATGTAGGAAAGTTTCTCCGCCTGCCTATCCCCAGTCGCCAGGGATTGGATTTTCATACAGAAAAAACGATTTCTATTTTATGATTCTGTCGCCAGATGCCCTTTATCCTACGCCGAGAGAGAACTTTCTTCAGATGCCTACAAAGTTCAGGTGTATTTACAAAAAATACAAAAACAAAACCCCAAACCTCACAAACTCAGACATGGTCTTTATGAATTCTGCTATGACTTTTCAAATGTCGCTGGAATGCATGCAGGCGAATTGAAGGATTCTTACCTTATGTTGTGAGACTTTGCCTTGAGTGACGCAAACCAGCGTCTACTAACCCCAGATAGGGAGCGGATGGCACAAAAGTAGGGGTTCCGCCCGAGTCCAGGTTGAGAAGCATGGATGAATCAAGCTGCATCCCCGAAGAGCCCACCCCGGGGGGACTGATGTCTGGGAAAGTTGTACAGGCGATCGGTTTCCTCCCGCCGCAGTCCTGCTCTGGAACCGCGGGTCGGGGCTGGTATCTGTGAACCCGAGTCTTGGGCAGCTTCCCTCTAGGATGGAATGTGTCTGTTTGGAGACGTGGCTACACAATACCTATTGGCCATAGTTTCTTATCCTCCCCCCCCCCCCCACAACACACACACACTCCCTCTTTAGAGAAATGCCCATATTTTAATTAGCCTTTGATTCTTTTCCTCTGAGCAAAGAGCTAAGCCAAAGAGATCCCACAAAGTGGAATTTTACACACGCTGTGGCATAGACAGCTTCTGTCCTTACGTTCTTGCTCCACGACTTTCCTTCAGTCTTTCTTAACTTCAGTGAATATCTATTTGGGAATTTCAGACGCTCCCTTTTCCTGTTTTCAAGAGTCTTAGATGAAATAGTCTGATACTCGAAGTTTGCTTTTTCTTATTTTCCATTGGTTTCAATATAAAAATAATTATTTGAAAGTCACCACTGAGTCAAACTTAACTCGTGAAAAATGGGCCACAATATTCTGTATTCTGGTATGTTTTACCACTGAACCTAGCCCTGCCCCCACTGCATTGGCGAATTCTAATGATTGCTTAGTTTTTTTCCAGAAGACAGATGAAGGAAGCAAAACAAAAGGCAAGAAATTATTGTAGAACTAATTGTAATTTCTTCTGTTTAATTTTTGTTGTTGGCTGATTGGTTCTGTTTGTTTACTTTTGAGATAGAGTCCAGGTTCCTCTCAGACTAAAGACATAGCTGTAGCTACAAGTGTTTTTCTCAGTTCCTATCCTCTGCCTTCTCTCTCTCTCTCTCTCTCTCTCTCTCTCTCTCTCTCTCTCTCTCTTTCCCTCTCCCCCTCCCTCCCTCCCTCCCTCCCTCCCTTCCTCCCTCCTCCCTCTTCCCCTCTCTTTCCCTCCCTCCCTCCTTCTCCTTCTCCCCTTCCCTCCTTTTTATTTACACACACACACACACACACACACACACACACACACACGATTATTTTGTCTGTGTCTGTACACCACACGCTTTCCTGTTGCCCTCAGAGACCAGAAGAAGGCACGGAATTCCCTGGAGCTGGAGTTAGATGATTGTGAGCCCCTGTGAGTGCCAAACTGCTGAGCCATCTCTCTAGCCCCCTCTGCCTACTTCTTTATCATCTAACCCTACACTGTAGCCACTAGCCACATGTGACCATAAACACTTATTTGGCTGGGTGCAACAGAAAACTTTTTTTACTTCATTTAATTATAAAATGGAAGGAGTGTAAAATATTCTCTCATACACTACTTCATTTTTTATAGGACTACATTTTGAGTTATTTAGTAATTAACATAAAATTGAGATATGTATAAAGTATCAAAAATGTATCAGGGCTGGAGAGATGGATCAGAGGTTAAAAGCACTGCTCTTCCAGTAGGTCTCGGGTTCAATTCCTAGCACCCACGTGGCAGCTTGAAACTGCCTGTAACTCCAGTTTCAGGGGATCTGACACCTTCACACAGACACACTTACAGGCAAAACATGAGTGCGCATGAAATAAAAATGTTTTTTTTTAAATGTACCAGACTTAAAAGATTTTGGATGTAAAATATTTTATTAATTTTATATTGATTAGATGTTAAAATTACATGTTTGATCTATGGCTTTATTAAAATTAACTTTGTTTTTAGCACTGAGGCTTGAGCTCTGCTCTCACACATGCTAGGCAAGTAGTCTCCCCTCCCACTGAGCTATAGCCCAGCCCTCATATATTCCATATATTCTCTCTCTCTCTCTCTCTCTCTCTCCCCCCCCCCCGTTTTTGTTTTGCCAGACAGGGTTTCTCTGTAGCTTTGGAGACTGCCCTGGAACCCGCTCTGTAGACCAGGCTGGCCTTGAACTCACAGAGATCCACCTGCCTCTTCCTCCCAAGTGCTGGGATTAAACGCATGTGCCACCACTGCCCTGGCCATGTTTTCTTTTTAAATATAGCTTAAAAATATAAAACTGTGTATGTGACTCGTAGATTGGGCGATATTGGTAGTATCCAGCTAGTTTGGGTGTAGTAGCTTCACCTTCAGCAGGAGAGATTCTTAGAGCAGGAAGGAATCTGTCCATAACTTGTTGTGTGCCAAGGGAAGTGTGGCTGCTTGGTTACTATGAGTCAGGGATTCAGAGGTTTGCATTAGGATCCTGAAGTTGTTCCAGCTTGATCTGCTTAGTGATTTCTAGGCCAGCTAAGAAGTACGTAGTGAGACCCTGTCTCAACAAAACACACACACACACACACACACACACACACACACACACACACACACACACACATTAGTGAAAATCATACAAAGCACATGTGTCATTTATTTACTAAAACTGTTCAGAAAATACCAATAATTGCTTATTGAATATGGAAACTTTGTGGCCAAGGAAGACATACCAGGAAAAATGAACACTATAAAAAGAAAATAAGCAAGTTTCAGATTTGATTTTGAGTTCCAGAATAACCAAGGGAAAATGAACAAGAAGAAGTATGCCGTTACCCAAGGAGGCATAGCATTTCTGAGCACTGTAAGAATAATTTCTAATATGACTTGGTGTTACAGATAACATTTTAATAGCAAGATCAACATTTTATATGATTACATATGGTAATATCCAGATAGTTTTATATAGAAATGAATGGATGTGAACAATAATTTTTTATTTTTATTTTTGTAGGAATCTCGGGAAGCCACAATGCGGCACAATCAGATGTGTTGTGAGACACCACCTACTGTCACTGTTCATGTGAAATCAGGTTCTAATCGGTCACATCAAACTAAAAAGCCTACCAATCTGAAGCGTCCTATTTTCAAAGATAGTTGGCAAGCATCTGAAAAAAATGCACATAACAACAAATCTAAGCGGCCCAAAGGACCCTGTCTAATTATACAGCGTCAGGAAATGACTGCTTTCTTTAAATTATTTGGTAGGTGTAAGACATTTTAATAGTGTAAAGTACTGAAGAATCCTAGTGTAAATCTCTTTTGTCAGGTTTTTACAATGTAGTGTTTATACCAGCCAAGAAAAGGAGCCCTGCTTTTGCAGTCGCAAGGTAGACAATAGAATAAGAGATAGTGTAGATGTTTCCTGATAAGGACTCAGATCACAGCACAGTCTAATAGTGCTGCACAGCAGACCCTCCTTGACTATAGAGGAAGTCTATATGCTTGCCTGCACACTTGGTAAGATGCAAAGAATGTCAGAGCTAAAAGATGAGCTAAATATATAAGGAATGTAAAGAGAAGTTATAAAGTTTTCTCCAGTCAGAATCTAGAATGTTAACACGATCCCATTGCTCCTTAGTAAGAAGAGAGCAAAATGATTGCCCACAAACCTTTCTTTAGGCTCTCCTTACTCCTCACCACCTTTGTGTTAGAAAGGGTCCCATGTACGCCCAGGCTAGTCTTAAACTTTGTATGTACTTAAGGATAACCTTGTGTTTTTAATCCTGCCCTCACCTACCAAATGCTCAGATTAGAGGCAAGCAAAATACCCGTTTTGTTGGTCATCTCCAGTCCTTACCCCACAAGGTTTTTGAGTACTCTTAATTGGTCATAAGAAAACACCTGATTCCATCATTTTAGGTAACTTATGAAATAGAAACAAAATTAAAAGAACAAATTAATTCCAGAAAATAAAGTTATTCTTAGAAGTTTCCAAATATCAATTACAAGAATGCAATTCATAACATACAAAATGAATAAAAAGAACCTTTTGCTTTGTTATTAAAACAAAGGTGATTTTCCTAGATTAAATTCTGATAGTTTTCAACATATTTTGAGATTATCTATTTTAATGCTTTCAAATCAAACCAAGGTTTTTTTTTTTAAATTTACTTTTTGGATGTTGCTTTTTGTTGTGTTTTTGTTTTGAGACAGAGTCTCGTCAAGTAACTCTGGCTGGCCTGGAGTAGAACTTGAATTCACAGAGACTTGCTGGGATCAAAGGATTGCACCACCACTCTGTGGTAGATATTATTCTTCATAATTTTGTTGATCTTTTTATTCTAAAAATTGGTTTTCTCAAAATTAAATGTTAATTATAAATCCAAGTAAAACTTGAAGTTATTTATATAGACATATTTATATTTTTATTTGAGTAATAAGTAGACTAGAGAGGAAATAGGGGAAAGGGTCCAAAATGAAAAATACCCAAATGAATAATACCCAAAATGAAAAAAGGTGAAAGTAATTGGGAAAAGTGATACACTTAGAACAATATTAAGCTATTATTTATTAGGAGATGAATTATCTTACTTCAGATTCCATTTCTGCCTCTTACAATGTACTCTGCAAAAGAAGAAAGAGCTGGAGTTTCCCAACATGCTGTTGGATGCTCAAAAATGAAACATTATTCACTTTTAAAGTTGAATATATATATATATATATATATATACACACATCTAGTAAGGCAAATCAGATGGGAAATGATAGTCATTGCAATAATAAATTTACTTTTAAAACTGACAACTAAACCTTAGTAACCATTTTTGCTTAATTTCCAAGCATCACTTTATAATGTCCCAATACAGAAAGTATCTCTTCAAAAGGAAACATTTTAAAGAAAATAAGTCATAGTTACCTTTTGTTGTAGATGACGACTTAATTCAAGATTTCTTGTGGATGGATTGCTGTTGTAAAATTGCAGACAAGGTAAACTGAAAACAGTATAATCATAAGCTATCGTTGTGTTACTAGATCATTAAAATTTTTGATACCCAATAAGAATTTACTCCTTCATTATGTTTAGAAAAATAGCCTATGTCTTTCCTTCAGAGCAGAATTCTTTGGTCATATCTGTTGTGTGTGTGTGTGTGTGTGTGTGTGTGTGTGTGTGTGTGTGTGTGTGACAGTGACAACATGGATACCGTAGCCATTATGTTGAGGTCAGAAGACAATTTACAGAGTTGTTCCTCTTCTTCCACCATGACAGCATGTGCCTTTACCCACTGATCCATTCCACTGGTTCCCAAAGCAGAATTTTTAAACTTAATTTTTACCAAATCTATTTGGAAACAATACTCAATACTTTGGTGGCAGGGTTCAGGGTAGGGAGTGGGGGTGGAGGGCAAGGATACATTCTCTCTCATTCCAGCCCAGCCTGACCTCAAACTCGTAAATTCACAATCACCTTACCTCAGTCTCCTAAGACATGTATAACTGTGGTCAGCTAGATTCAATTCATTTGGTTAGAATTACTACTTTTTTTTAAAAAAGTAGACCAAGAAGAAGAATTACTACCTTTAATTGGTATGGAGAAAAGTTCTTGAGACTCCGTTAAGGCAATCTTCTATAAGTTTGAATATTTTATAAGTAATTCAGACCAAAAATTTCAATTATCCTTTTAATCAATTTATTACTATAATTCAAGAGGTATTAAATTGCTGTATATAATTTCTAATAGCGTAAATAGCCTCTTATTCCATGATGGCTTTCTTACTGCTGGGTAACAGTAAGAAATGATGAGCGACTGTCACATACTTTGAAAAACACTAGACAAGTGAAAATTGAGAAATATTCTATAGAGCAAATGGCTTGTGGGGTGGAAAAATGGCTTAGTAGTTAGTAGAGCACTAGATGCTCTTCTAGAGGATCCAGAGGTTTTTTTCTACCCACATCTGGCTGCTTGCAACTACTGTAACTCCAGCTCTGGGCGGGTGCATGAATGCACACACACACACACACACGCATACACACATTCCAACATGACACAATTAAAAGTATCTTTAAAATAATGGATCATTCTCTTTTGGGTTAGTGTACAAAGAAATCAGTTTCATTGTGATATTATCATATGTGTGTATCATTTATTATCCTTTTTTTCCCTGAGACATGGGCTTAACTATGTAACACTAGCTGTCCTAAAACTTCCTTTGTAGACTTGAACTCAAAGATTAAAGGCATGTACCCAGATGCCCATATACTTTATTCTTATTCATATCTCTCATTCCCCACCCCTTAGTTTAACATGTTCTTCAGTTAGATATCATATTCTATAAACTGTTTAGTTTATTAGGAACAGCAATGGTTTATGCTCTTTTATGGATACGTTTCAATATTTGTTTCTATACTTTTGAGTAAGCTGAAAGTTGCCATTTTACTTTTGTAAATACCAATTTAGACTGAGCAGTCATATATTAAGTTCAGTAACAGTTAAAATATAAATCAATAGATAAAGGAAAGTATAGAAGATTAGTTTATGATTTAAGTCTAAGAATTGAAATAAAGGTCTTTGTTTCATACAAAATTGCCAAAGATAAAAAAGTTTTCGAAGTTTTTTTTTTTTTTTTTTTTTTTTTTAATTTGGGAGGCTGGAGAAATGGTTGAGTGGGTTAAGAGGACATCCTGTTCTTTCAGAGGACCTGAGTTCAGTTTCCAGCACCGGTACTGAGTGACTCATAACTGATTGTAGCTCCAGCTCCAGGTGATCTGCTGACTTCTGGTCTTTTCAGGCATCTGCACTCATATGCACACACGCACACACACACACACACAATTAAAAGCTAAAATATTTTTTAAAATAAAATTAATTTTGGAAAGTTTTTTTTTAGAAACTTTATGTATTTGGGTGATCAGTTTGTTTGTATGTCTGTTCACCATTTGCATGCTTTGAGGGTCAGAAAATGGTGTCCGATCCCCAAGATCTGGAGTTACAGACAGTTGTGAGTCCCCGTATGGGTGCTAAGAATCAAACTCCGGGTCCTCTGGAAGAATAGACCGCACTGTTAATGGCTGAGGCATCTCTGCAGCCTCTGGAAACTATTTTGGAAAAACTAAAGCACACATAGCTTAAAGACCTTCCGTGTGGCTCTTAAAAGTACAGCCATCATCAACGTGGCCATTCTTCTTTCTTTTAACCCTTCTTCCTAGGAATGTAAACTATTTTGAGGTAAATCTGAGGCATGCTAACTTTTTTTGTTGCTATTGTTTTTTGAGACAGTGTTTCTCTGTGTAGCCCTGGCTGTCCTGGAACTCACTGAGATCTGCCTGCCTCTGTCTCACAAGTACTAGGATTACAGGTGCTGACACCACTGCCTGGCACATGCTAACATTTTATCACAAACATTTGATGTGAGGTTGCCAGGATACATACATACTACACCAACTGCTAAAGGTGCCTGATGCCAATCCTGAGTTGATCCCGGGATTCACATGATGGAAGAGCGAATGAAATGGGCTTCCGTCATTTGTTCTCTGATTGCCTCATCTGGATGGTGGCCTGACACATGACACACACTGATAAATAAATAAATAAATAAATAAATAAATAAATAAATAAATAAATGTGTGTGTGTGTAAAAATAAAATATGTCTCCAAAAATGTAATCTTTAAAACAATCGCAGTGTCAGTTTTCACATAAACTAATATACCCAAATCCTCAGTTTCTATAGTTGTGGTAAACGGTATAGTTTAGGTGCTTTAATGCTGGTGGACAGCAGGGGGCAGTGTTTAAAAAGTAACTAACCCAGAACACTTGACATTATTTCAGGAATCCTTTACTTAGAAGTTAAGGGAACCCTTGGAATTATCTTCTTGTACAATGCCCTTACTAGATAATAAATAAGTATGAAAGATAAAAATTCATATTTTAACTTGTTTCAAATTTAAATCATTAGATCTTGGCATACATTCTAATAGGATAATTGTGTGTATTTGTGATATTGCATTTAAAATGTGTTTTCTCAATGAAACTAAGCCTTGCTATTCTAATTTTTGAAGTTATTTAGAAGTTATCCTTACATATTATTTTTTAGAGTAACTATTGGTGAATCTAGGTGAAAGATGTTTGGTTACTCATTGAACTATTTCAACTTCTCTATAAGATTGAAATTTAAGTTAGAAAAAAATGGAATTTTAATTTTAGAATGCATCAGTTATAATAAGATTTGGAAATACACTTAGCTAAATATAATAAATCATCAGTAACTCTCACATATTCAAGCGGATTAATTACAGGAGAAAAAAATAAGTGCTCAGGTGATTGCATAAAGATTAATAATGCCTTAAAGTTTAGTTTACTATTTTATAGCAGTTGTATTACAGAAAGCAAACCACTAATATTAATTTCTAACTTTTCCTTATAGTATCTTTTGGCTATGACCTTTGTTTATTTCAAGAGAGCTAAATTTACTATAAATGAGCATACCAGGATAAATTTCTTTATTGCTCTGTAAGTATGCTTTCTACTTAAATGAATTTTATTGGTTATTTACAATATATGTGATTTATAATTTAAAGCAGAAACATTAAATTTTTATGGATATTGTTAATAGGCCTTGTGTATGAAAATTGCATATATTTTATTTTAGTAGGATAGTTTTATGTTCTTTTCCCTCTCTTACATTACATGCCGGAGATTTATTGTTCACTACCCCACTTCAGGTTGTATTGTGTTTTCTACATTTTTCACAGTGCTCTCATAGAAATTTCGTCAATTCTCTTTCTCTTTCTCTCCCATTCCCCACTGGTTGTTGTTGTTGTTGTTGTTGCTTTGTGGTTGTGGTTTTTGGTTTTGTGGGGTTTTTATTTTTGAGACAAGGTTTCTTTTTGCAACAGCTCTGACTGTCCTGGAGCTCACTCTATAGATAAGGCTGGCCTGGAACTCAAGAGATCCACCTGCTTCTCTCTTCCAAGTTTGTTAAAGGCATGCATGCACCACCACTGTCCAGTGTGGATATGTTCCTTGTAAGTCTATTTCTAAAAGATAGGAATTATTTATTTTTAATACTTTTGTGTTCACTGATGGTCTCATCAAACACTGAATATTGTTTATTCTCCAGATTTTCTGGTGATAGCACATTAATTAATGATAGCCTTGTTATCTGTTAAGTTGTTTTAATGATGTGGTTTTCCAATTCATAGGTCCTAATTTAGTAAGGAAAAGTACAATTTCAGGGCTATAAGGGATATAACTTAATGGTGGAATATTTGTCTGGTATGCACAAAACCCTGGAGTCAGGCATCAGCAGTGCTTTAGAATAAAGGGAAAAGGTTAAATTTAAGAATACATCTTGGGGGGCTGGAGAGATGGCTCAGTGGTTAAGAGCACTGCCTGCTCTTCCAAAGGTCCTGAGTTCAATTCCCAGCAACCACATGGTGGCTCACAACCACCTGTAATGAGATCTGGTGCCCTCTTCTGGCCTGTATACTTAATAAATAAATAAATAAATAAATAAATAAAAGAATACATCTTGGGGAGCGGGGGGGGGGGCGGGGAAGAATACATCTTGGGTTGGGTGGTGGTGGTGTACGCCTTTAATCCCAGCACTTGGGAGGCAGAGGCAGGTGGATCTCCAAGAGTTTGAGGAAGGGAGTTCTAGGATAGCCAGGACTTACACAGAGAAACCCTGTCTCGAAAAACCATAAAAAAAAAGAAGAAAAAAAAGAATTCATTTTGGTTCCAGGACAGTCAGGGCTGTTACACAGAAAAACTCTGACTCAAAACAAACAAAAAAATACATAATATATTTTGAAAGTTGTGGTGTTCGAGGAAGTAGCATGGTTTCCCTGGTATGCAGGATGCCCTGGTTTCAATTACTAGTAAACCTCCCCCACAGCAAAAAAAAAAAAAAAAAAAGAAAAAAAGAAAAAAAAAGACAAAGACTTTTACCTTCTCCATGGATACAGCAATGCAGCTGGAATGTACATGAATAATTTTAAGTGTTAAAGTAGGAAACTGTATACTGAGCCATTTCAGTATTGGGGGCTGGAGAGATTAGCTCAGTGATTTAAGCACAACCACCTGTAACTCCAGTTCCAAGGAGCCTGACACTCTCTGAATGATGGAGACATCATGTTTTGGAGAAAGGATGACAACTCGCCCTAACTTAGTCCCAGCATTCATAGAGCCATGCAAAGAAAATCCCATCCAGTCCCTTCAGCCCTTCCCAGACGATGCTGGTGACAGATTTCTGGGTGCTCTCAACACACTCTCTTCTGGCCTCTGGGCATTAGCACACACATGGCTCACATAGGCAGGCAAAACACTGAAACACATAGAAACAAATCTGAAAAAAAGACATTGGCGTGCCACAATAGCTCTCAGAACCGAGGAAGAAGTTTGTGCTCAAAGTCTGTTTAGAATCAGAGTTTTTAAAGAAATCAAACCAGAGGAGCATTATCTATGCATGAATTAGAGGGACACTTCCCGAATGTAGGAAAATGTGATGGTTGCTAAACTGGAAGAATTTAATAGTAATAGCTAACACTGAGTATTATTTGTCAGCTGCCACAGCTTATATATTTATACATTTAGTTTTGTTACGAAATGTATCCTTTTTGTTGTTATTTGGTTTTTTTTTTTTTCCAGACAGGATTTCCCTGGATGTCCTAGAATTCACTTTGTAGACCAGGCTGGCCTCTGCCTCTGAGTTAAATGAAATGCATTTCTTATTCCTTATGTGGAAACAGAATTTAGGAAGATAAAGCACTTTACAAGATCACAGAAGTTAGTAAGGAAGCCAGGTGTTGTAGTACACACCTATATTCCCAACATTTAGGAAGCTAAGGCTGGAGAATCATGAGTTTGAGAGCAGCCTGACCTCAAGAAAAAACAAACAAAAGGAGCAGGGTTGCTGAGGTGCAAATTCATGTATGTATGATATTTCCAAGAGCCAGAGTCAGCCTTTACACTGTTAAATTGCAATTTATGTGTTTCAGTATTTTATTTTCATATAATATCATACATATTCTGTAGTTTTCTTCATCTGACAATTAAAGATAAACCAAAAATGACTTTAGTGCAAATCTAGGTAAAGGTCTGAAACTGAATGTTTCTCTTGTTTTGTGGTAATAACCATTAAAGGGCAATTAACTTTTACTATGTAGTAATCTTTAAGATTGCACTGAAGATTGTATTATATTTGAAGTAGCATGAATTATAATTTCCATCTTGTGTCTGATCATGTTTTCTGTAAGCTAATTCAATATTTCTTTTTCATTAAGCATGTTTTGTTAGCCAGTTTTAAAGCTTGTATTTTGTATGTAGTCATGTAATGTTTCCTTATTATAGTCTTGTAACACGCTGAATTTCATTTTCTTTTCTTATTTTTTAAAGATGTATTTATGTATTATGAATACAGTGTTCACCCTGCATGTATGCATCCAGGCCAGAAGAGGGCACCAGATCTCACTACAGGTGGTTGTGAGCCACCATGTGGTTGCTGGGAATTGAACTCAGGACCTCTGGAAGAACAGCCAGTGCTTGTAAAAATAAGCCATCTCTCCAGCCCTCTTTTCTTATCTTTTAAAATCTTTTGAGATAAGGTATTTGTAGCCTAGGTGGGCCCCAAACTCCCTGTGTAGCCAAGGATTCTCCTTTCTTTGCCTTTCAAATGCTGAGATCGCAGCTGCCGGGAACTGAAGCCAGGTCCTCTGTAAGAGCCTCTCCAGCTCCTACACAGTTGTTTTTATATTCTATCTTGACTTTGGGATTTGCTTCTCATGATGTTTTGTTTCCTTGTGTGTTTTGTAATGTTTTTGTTGTTAAAGCCTGTGGAGCTTGCATTGCTTCTGATATGAAATCTGCCCCATCCTTAACTTTATCCCTGTATTAATTTCTTGTGCCCTTCCTTCCTTCCTTCCTTCCTTCCTTCCTTCCTTGCTTCCTTCCTTCCTTCCTTTTTTACCGGGGTCTCATGTAGTCCAGGCTGGACTCATACTACATAGCTGAGGATAGTTTTGGATTCTTGATTCTTCTGTCTCAACCTCTCAAGTACTAGGATTACAGATGTGTGACAACATTCTACTTTAATGTGTCTCTTTTTGTCTGTTTTTCAGTTTTTATCATTGCTTTTGAACAGCTTGGTTAGGATGTACCATGGTATAACTTTTTTGTGATTTCTTGTTTCTTATTCATTACATTTCTTTGTATATTTGTAGGTTTTCTGTTTTGTTTTGGGTGTTTTTTGTTTCATTTTTATTGGAGAGATATTTTGTTGTTGGTTTGTGAGGGGTTGTTGTTTCCTTTTTTGCCTTTTTTTTTTTTTTTTTGGTTTTTTCGAGACAGGGTTTCTCTTTGGCTTTGGAGCCTGTCCTGGAACTAGCTCTGTAGACCAGGCTGGTCTCGAACTCACTGAGATACGCCTGCCTCTGCCTCCCGAGTGCTGGGATTAAAGGCGTGCACCACCATCACCCGGCTCCTTTTTTGCTTTTTCAAGACAGGGTTTTTGTGTATGTGTGTGTGTAGCTCTGACTGTTCTGGTGTATTGTAGACCAGGCTGGCCTTGTACTCAGAGATCCACCTGCCTCTGCCTTCTGAGTGTTGGAATTAAAGGCATGTACCATCATTGCCTGGCTGCATGTTTATAATTTTTGTCAAATTTTTATAAAGGGTCTCCTATAGTCCAGGTTGGACTCAAACTTTCTCTATAGCTAAGGATATCCTTGAACTTCTGATCTTTCTGCATCTACCTCTCAAGGGCTGTAATTATAGGTATGTGCCACATACCTATTTATGCAATGCTGGGGACCAAGTTCAGAGGCTCCTGCATGCTGTGTGAACATTGTAACAGCTTACATTTCTAGCCCCATTTTCTTCAAACTTTGGGAAAATTCATCTATTTCATCAATAGTTTGTGTCTACCTGCCATTTTTCAGATCCCAAGTTTACTTTGAATTCACTTCTTGAAGTTTTCACACATTAACTAATGTTCTATTTCTGACTTTTAATTTTTATCTTTATATTCCAGGTCGGGTAGATTCTATTACTGTACCTTTAATTGACAAATCTCTTCTCCAGTACTCAATCTTCCATTAATCTAGTTCAGTGCTTTTCATCCTACACATTGTGGATTTCATCTCTAGAAGTACAGTTTCATGCACCTCCTTTTTGAGCATATAGAATAGTTATAGTTGTTTTGTGCCCCGGCTTGACTTGAGAAGGTGTGCCTTCCTATAGTTTGCAACCAGGGCTGGCTTTCCTCCGCCTGTCGCTGTGCCCTACTGGGTCACTTATATGCTTCGATAGAGCTTTGACAAATAAGGCAGGGCTGAGAACGAGACAGAGATGATATGACCCATAAGCCCCAAATACCTATAGTACAGATACAGTTTGTATAACTAACTGGCATGGTGAATAAAACTAACCTTTTATTCCAGCATTTGGGAGGCAGAGGCAAGCAGATCTCTGTGAGTTCGAGGCCAGCCTGGCCTCCATAGAGAGACCATTTGTTGCTGGATCGATGTGGCCCTGCACTCACACACACCAGGGCCAAAGAGGAGGCAAATATGGTCTTATATTCCAGAGGGGAAGTGGGAACCAAAAAGAAAAAAAAAGAATAATTACAGTTGTTTTGATGTCCTTTTATGTATCAGTTTACGTTTGGATTGGTTTTGATTAGTCAGTTTTTCTCTTTATCATGATTTTTGTTTTTCTGTTTCTTTGTATGTCTGCTTCCCCTCAAGTATATGGCAAAATACCAACTTCCAAATGTGTATGAAGGAGCTGTCTGAAGATAGCCTAAAGAAAGACAACCCAAAGATAGCCCAAAGAGTGGCTCACAGTCGTTCATCTAGAACAATAAGCATAGCTGTTCTCAGGCAGGCAGACACCACAGTCCCTGGAGTAGTAAGGGAATGCTCTGGAAAGTCCTGTCTGGGGTCAGCTGATTAGCTCCAGACTGAACATGCCACAGATTCACCTTAGAAGTCAGAAAAACTTCAGACTGCATCCCAGAACAAAGGTCAAAATTTATAGGAATACAGAAAGACCTAGAAGATGCAACAATTATATCACTATTTTTATTATGTACTTTAGATATGAATACCCTTCATGTGTTGATAAGTCATTTGTATTTCTTTTTTTATTGTTGTTTTGTTTTCTGTTGTTATTGCCCTTATCCATTTCCTCCTTGGGTTGTTGATCCTCTTTGTTAGGTACCTGGCTAATACAGTTGAAGAAGATGAAGAGGAAGCCAAGTATGAAATTTTTCCATGGGCTTTAGGGAAAAACTGGAGAAAACTGTTCCCTAATTTCTTAAAGTTAAGGGACCAGCTCTGGGACAGGATTGACTATAGGGCTATTGTGAGCAGGCGGTGCTGTGAAGAGGTAAGGATTTAAGAACACCTTTTATTTATAATCTTTGTTTACCTAATTATCCTTGGTTTATTTTGCTTCCTTATTTGGGATAGAGTCCAGAAAGTAACCCAGCCTGGCTTGGAATTCATAGTCCTATTTTGTCCTCTTCAGTTTTAGAATACAAGTATATAGTGCCAGTCTGTCCTGCCCACACCACTTTGGTTTTTAATGCTCTTTCTCTCTCTGTCTTTGTACATGTACAGAGATCATTAACCTCAGTCACTATTATGAATGTATGAGTATATTCTATTTCTGTATGAATTTTATCAGATATTAAAATTTGTCATTTCCATTTTTTTAGAGCAAACTACTTCTATACTGTTCTTATTGTAGTGTTCCCTTCCTGTCTAAAAGATCACCACTATGCCAGCAAGGGGTTTGTGAACATATTAAAGAATCTTATTCAAGATTATTATAAAATTAGGAAACTAGAACTGAATAATAATTTCCACTAAAGTATATGATCGTTTTCAACATTGAGGCCAACAGTGTGGTGTATAATTTAAATTTATTTAAAATTATACCTCTTTTCACAAAGAATACATTTTTTATTTAAAAAATTTTTTTTTAAATATTTATTTATTTATTATGTATACAATATTCTGTCTGTGTGTATGTCTGCAGGCCAGAAGAGGGCACCAGACCTCATTCCAGATGGTTGTGAGCCACCATGTGGTTGCCGGGAATTGAACTCAGGACCTTTAGAAGAGCAGGCAATGCTCTTAACCACTGAGCCATCTCTCCAGCCCCCTTATTTAAAAATTTTTAAATTTAATTTGAGACAATTTGAGACAGGGTCTCTCTCTCTATAGCTCTGGCTGTCCTGGGAAATTCTATGCATCACCATGCTTAGCATATTGTTTTCTTAATGTTGTATTTTAGTAAGATAAATGATTTTATTTATAAATAAGGTTTCTTCCTGTTTTTTTTTTTTGACACATGGTTTCTCTGTGTAACAGCCCTGACTGTCCTGGAATTTGATTTATAGACCAGGCTGGGATCACAGGCATGTACCACCACTGCCCAACCCTGTGCATATGCAAGAATTCAGAAATAAAAGAGGACAGGAAATAACAGAAAGATTATATAGCAGGCTAAGACTCTACAAGGTTAAATTCAATGGGAAAGATGAAAAGTTACATATATATGAGGTCTCTAAAATTAATTCATTGTCATTCAAACTGAACTGAATCCAGTTATAAGGTATGGAAAGAATCCTGTAGCTTATTTTTATGTCTCTGTTTCTTGCATGTATTTTTTATGTCTCTACTTGGGTCAAGTGGATAAACAGTAAATGCTGTGGTCCGTTCCTATAATCTCAGTACTCAGGAGGCTAAAGCAGGAGGATCTCAAATTCAATGTCAACCTGGACTGTATAGTGAGACCCTGACTCAAAGAAAGGAATAAATGGCAATCTGCATAGCTGTTTGCCTTGAGAGTGACAGAAGGCCATATTTGAACATTATAATTTTCCACGTATATACTACTCTGCTTTTATTCTGTTCTTTTCCATTCTCTTTGAAACTATTATATAAAACCTTTCCTCTGTCTAACAGAGCTGTGTCATTGCCTCCTGATAGCCTTATGTTGCCAAAACATAGGACAGATTTTAGGTTTTAGTCCTCAACTTAGCAGCAGTGTTTGGCACACTTACTTCTCTGATGTACTGTGTTCATGTGGTTTTCCGAGTCAGTTCCCTTTCTCTCATCAGCCTTATTAGGTGCCACCAGAGCTCAGTCCTGGGACCTATTCTTGCCTCCATTGGAATTAACTTAGTAAATGATCTTGTTTATTCTTAAGCCGTTAGCTCAGAACTGGAGAGATAGCTCAGCAGTTAGAACCACTTCCTCATCATCCAGAAGACCAGAGTTCAGTTCTGGCACCCATATCTGGCAGCTCACAACCACCTGCAGCTCTGACTTCTAGGAATCTGACACACTCTTCTGGTGCCAAAGGCATGTGCATGTGTAAATACACATACAAATTAAGATATTTTCTAGGAGACTTTAACATAAAGATCTAAAGATCATGTGTGTAGTAATATGGGGCGGCAGGGCTGCGTCCCCCACACCCGGCCGCCCACATGGCTAGCTTATGCTCCGAAATAACAACACACAAAACTGTATTCTTTTAATCACTGCTTGGCCCATTCTCTTCTAGGCTAATTCTCACATATTAATTTAGCCCACCTCTAATCATCTGTATGTAGCACCCCAAGGTGCGCTTACCAGGGAGATTCCAGCCTAGTCCATCCTGGGTCGGAGCTTCATCCCGGGAGTGGGGCATGGCGTCTCTCCTGAGGCGTCTGCTCCGGAGAGCAGAGCTGTGGAGTCTCTGACCTCACTTCCTCTTCCTCCCAGTGTTCTGTCCTGTTTTCTCCTCCCACCTATCCTCTAACCAATAAAATGGGCCAGGGCAGTGCCTTTATTAGCCAATGACCTTCCTCCATCATTTCCCCTTTTTCGGTTTAAACAAAAAAAAAAGGCTTTAACATAGCAAAATTACATATAACAAAACAGTTATCAAGTAAAAGTTACAATAATCTTTATCATAACTAAGGAAAACTATAACTAACTATTCTTAACTCCATCAAAGACTCCAGAAAGATATACTACTACCTAAGCAAACAAGAAAAAAGCAACTTTCAAACTCTAGAAATGACAGAGACATCTCGCTGCCTGGACAGTCACCCAAAGTTCCTCTGTACCGTTGGGGCATCCATCTTCAGCCTTCAGGCCCATGGTATCCAGCAGACATTTCCATAAAGCAGGAAAATTCAAAGTCAGTTCAGTCACTATCTGTTGTGTCCTGCAGAATGTCTCGCAGACTCTTTCATGAATCAGGACCCCCAAAAGATCATTTTACCTTAGGCAAGTTCAGTAGTCCTTTCTCTGTGGGTTCTCTGTGTCCAGTTTATGCAATAGTCCAGGTAAGAGCAGTTTCTTGCCCAAATGGCTATCAAACTCCATAAGCATCCTCTTCGATGCCCATCTTCCTCTTGAAGTAGATTGGTGCTGCCAGGAGCAGAGTGTTTCATTGTCATGAAAAGTCCTAAGTTATTAAAACATTTAAAATGCCATATTCTATAATCTTTGAAAAATATGAAGAATGCCTATCTAAAATATATCTACGCACATCTAGAAAATATTAACTAACATGACTACAAACTTTACTATTATCGATTATCCATTAACAACCTATATTTCTTAATTATACCGTACATATTTAAATGAACTACACAATCACAATACCTTAATCAAAATCAGAAACACTTATATATATAACAAAATTGACCTTTAATCTCTATCAATAAAGCAAAATCTATACTAATGTAAATTATTCATATCTATATCATATCCCCCTTTAAATGTAAAAGGACGTTTATAAACCATATTTGGGAACATGGGCGCAGTTTTTTCTCTCCAAACTGCTTCCTGCTGAATGGGGGCGTCGTTAATTAGGTCTTTCATGGTATAACCTCTGTGCTAGTCTCATCTCAGTTGGCAGTTGAGCGAAGCAATTTTTTGAAGGCGTGCACAGGAACCATTCAGGAGGACGTGGTCCATCATACCAAATCGGAATAGAAGAAATGAACAGCGTCTCATCCTCTGTGAAAACAAAATAAGAAACTCCTTTCCAAAGCATCATGTCCTTAGATCCAAATTTCAAAGTTAAGGCATTTTCAAAGTATCTATGTTGGATTAGTTCAGCAGCATTTATAAACAAATATCTTTTAGCATCTGTTGCTCCTTCCTCAGCATTTAAATAATTTAAAGAGAGCATAATAGCATACAGTATCAAAATTTTCTGTGTATTTTCCATCTTTGTACAGCTTTGTTTTAACCTCGATTTCGTTTATTTTTACTTTTAACTCTTTGCTTTTTGAGACAGGTTCTCTGTGTCTTTGACCTGAAGTAACTCTGTAGACCAGGCTGTCTTTGAACTCTCAGAGATCCGCCTGTCTCTGCCTCCCAGGCATTGGGATTAAAGGTGTAAGCTACTACACCTTGAACTCACAGAGGTCTGTTTGCCTCTGCCTTCTAGGCACTGGGATTAAAGGCGTGTGCTACCACACACAACTCTCTTTCTTTTTTTGTTTTTTACTTTAAGAACTTCAACTTTTAGTCTGCATATATTTTTAACACACTGTAAACCATTTAAAAATTTTCTTTGTCTTTGAATCTCTCTTTACTGTATATCTCTCTTTTTCTGACCACATGAATCTTTAATTTACCAAGCAATATCAGTAGGATTAAAGGCGTGGCTTTGCCGGCTGGATCCAGCCCATTCCTTAGCTTTCCAGCCTCATGGCTGAGGTACTGGCTGTAGCCACGTTTACTGCGACAACTCTATGACATTTCAAGGTTCCTGCCAGCAAGCGAGCTTCAGCAGCCTTTGCTTGCAAACCGCACGAACCGCCTGTGTAAAAGAGTCAGAGTTTGTTCTGGCAGGACAGCCCAGAAAGCTGGCATTTTTAAACGGCGCAGCTTTTTTCCTGCTGCTGCTGAAAACCGAAAAGCATGTGTTCAGCTTTTCGTCAACACCGTTTAAGTGTTTCGTGGCAGGACCTCTTAATGAGCTGCAGGCTTTGCAGCTAAAGCTGAGTCAGGAAGCCTCTCTTAGATGAGGCGCTTGCTTGCCTCTAGCAAGCAGAGTAGAACCGAGAAATTGCTGCTACCAAGAAACCAGGCACAATGCTTTCATTTTGTTCAAGAATTACTTCCCAAGCTGTCTCAGGCTTTATGTGGAAGCAGTTGTCCACGTGGGCACCATATGTAGTATTAGGGGCGGCGGGGCCTCTTCCCCAGCACCCCAGCACCCCAGCACCCCAGCCACCCGCTCGGCTAGCTTATGCCCGAAATAACAACACACAAACTGTATTCATTTAAACACTGCTTGGCCCATTCTCTTCTAGGCTAATTCTCACATATTAATTTAGCCCATCTCTAATCATCTGTGTATGGCACCCC